CGTTTCCTCGAGAGGCCACCCAGCACGAAACATGGCTGCCACAATATCAACAGGCCAATCCCCTTCCAGGAGCTCTGTGAGTTGGTTAGAACGTGAACAATTTCTTGCGATAGAAGAGGTAGCAGGGGCTTCAGCTTTAGGTTTGGATTGCTTGCAAGGAGGCTTGGGTGGGGTGTTGTGTTTTTCTTGGCTGTTTATGCTTCGTCGTTGGTAGTACTAATGGTGCTGTCAGGATCAGGTTTGGGTTTGAAACACTTGACGGACGATCTAGGATGAAAAACCAGAGCTGCTAATGAGGCTGCTATTAAGCATTTTTCGGTCATTGTCAATTTTCTCTCACGAATGGCTTCGTGCAGGAATGAGCAGGGCAGATTTTTGGTTAATTTTGTTCACTTCAATGGGATCGCTTTTGAATTGGAAACTTGCATATTTTGGCGCGGTAATTGCGGGAATTTTCTTGAGGATTTCTTCGGGCATCATGGGTCTCGCAGCGTATGTTTTTCGTTTTTTATTACTCTTCACTCGTTTTTCTTGTGCATTAAACTTAGCCGCCACTTTGTTGTGCAAATAATAAACGCTTGGTATATCATCTAAATTCGATTAATGCGTGGTTGGCCAGAAAAAAAAATATTAGTGCGTAAAGTGACATGGTTTACGCACTGATCTTTTTTCTGGCCAACCACTCATTAATCAACCATGTCACCATTAATATTCATGAAAGAGAGAGAGAGAGAGAGAGAGAGAGGAACCTCGTGGGGTGGACTGAGTTTTCTTGTTTAGAAATTAGAATGCCCGCTTGTTGACTAGTCCGGCCTGACATTTGCTTATGTTGGCCCAACCCGACGTCACAGGACAGTACGCCAATTTGTTATCCCGTAGGGCTTTTTGGCCAATTCTCTCGTAGGTTGGGTTCAAAGAGAAATTCGTCCCTCGTTGGTTTGATTTTGTACGGTGCATCACTCATTAATTTGACTTGACTAAACGTCAAAATGGACAGGGTAAAAATCAATAAGAAATGGCTAAATCGCCCATAATGGAACAATCAAGTCGATTAGACAATCCTTTTAAATATGGTTGGTTCTTAAAGTCAACAACAGAAGTACCTGGGGAAATGATATGAAATTTCACTGAATCAGGTTTTCGAGGATAAGGAAGGAGTCACACCCATCGTCCTGCCGAAGAAAAAAATGAAGTGGCCACAGTTATCAGAAAACATGAGAATGGCAGCGCTAGCACCGCACACCGCATAACGTTTACTATGGTTTTACGGTACGTGGCAAACTATGACAATGTTCATCCGGAGTTGCCAGGAAAGGGGGAAGAAATGAGGAACCTGCTCCTTGATCAAAAAACTAGTTCCTTAAAAGTTGGACCAGATCGAGAACTGAAAAAAAAAAAAAAAACTAGCAGTTTATGGATCTCACGATTTGACTGATTAAACCGGTGGGCGAAATGATGATACAAATAAATAAAAGTAATATTATATTTGTGTATAAAAATATAAATATAAAATTATTTAAAAAATGTGTATCTGCCTTGTAAATTATTAAAAATATATATTGATTGATGATTTACAATTTAGATTCAAATTAAGCTCTCTCAATGTTGTCATTTAATTTTTAAATATGATTTTTTTTTAAAAAAAAGCAAAGACTAATTCAACTAGCTAGCTTAACCTCAGTTTAATAACGATTCCTAGCTCAGCCTTCTAGACAATCTTTTCAAAGAAAATTGAGTTGTTATACTATCCTACCAATACTTTAACTAGTTGGGCTGACTAGTTTGCGTAGTTTTTAAAACATTGTCAACAACGTTAACTTGGAAGCTAGGATTAATACTTCGACCTTAAGCCGAGGAGACATCCCGTCTAGATATTTCACACCTCAATCAAGATAGGTTAGATTAAACATCCGTTGGTTAATCTCAACAGAATTGCTAGGAGCTATTGGAAGTTTTTATTTGAGATGCACGGGGGGCATGTGTAATTGGGCTTCATTAAACGTGTTTCATTTTAACCAACATTGCAACTAAGCTTTCAGGTATCTTTAAGGGGGCTTGAATTTTGTTGGGATGAACAATATCTTAAAGTCAATGTTTATTATGACGCATTTGAAGTAATTAATCTTATTTATAACGAACATTCTCAATATTTCCCTCTTACTAGCTTTATCGAGAAAATCAAGAAATTCATCATGTAAAATTAGTCTGTCATTTAGGATAACATTTTCTGATAAGGGAATGGAGGTGTAGAATACCTTACCCATCGAGTGAATCAATGTAGCTCGAATACCGTTCTTGGCAAATTAACCACCCATGGGATGTAGGAACCTCGCTCTTTTTTCTGATATTAATTAATTTCGTTGTCGTCGTGCAAAAAAGGGAGGTGCTCTGCTAATATTTAACCAGTGTTAGAATGTCGATTCTACTCACACATTAATATTGACGTAATCACATACACGTGCAAAATCAACCTTGGCAAAGTAATAAACCATCAGGGTGGGCAAGCTAGTGGATTACACAAGGTACACCCCCAACTCATTTTCGTAATATTGTTAACCACTTTCTCGTGGTTAAGAAAATTAATTAGAAGTTAAAATCTTATACAACTTTTCAAAATTGCTATTTGATTGATATATCTCACTGGGATTATAGGACGAAAAACCAGTATAAAGAGAGAGAGAGAGAGAGAGAGAGAGAGAGAGGATATTTTTTAGATATTAATTATAAAAGCCTTATTAAATTTTATAGAAGGTCTTACGCGAAGGACCAATAAGATGACCTTACAAACAAGACCAAGCTGAATATTGAAATATCACGCCACACTAGTTTATTTATTTGTGATGTATGAGAAAATTTAAATATATAATACAGATTCTCTCGTTCCAAGGGTCAGCCATGATTCATGGCCCTGTTCGTGCGCGAAAATGAAGAAGGCGAAGAAGACGTGGAAGATGGCTCTCTCTTTGATTTTCCTGTCGCCGTCAGCGTATTCGCACCCACCAACACGCCATGTGCTCTTGCTTTTCCCTGTATTCCCCTCGCTCTCTAGACAATGACATCCATTGCTCAAAAATATTCTCCACCCTTCCACTTGCAGAACCCCCACGTCTGGATACTCTACATTTGTAATATCCCTCTTTCATTACCTAGAATATATGGTTTTCTTAATATTTTTAATGCAAGTAAATTTAAATCATTAAAAATGGATGACCAAAATGGGCTCAAAATCAGGTACCTCTTTCACCTGGATTGGACCTCATTAGTCCTTCCTCGCGAAATAAGCGTCGTGCCTGAAAATTTCTCTCTGGAAGACCAGGGATAAATGTTGATACCCAATTTTAATTAATAAATTTAGTCGGGAATAGGAATATTTGGTGATCCGAAGCGGACAACGGTGCAATCCTTCACGCGACACGACTACATAGATGTCCTGATTTGACCCGAACCAACGTGACGACCGGGAGGAGGAATTCAAGATTAAGGGGCTATTTAACATATTTTTTATTTTTTTATTTTAAAAATTAATATTTTATAAAACATGTTTTAAGAATAAAAAATAATAAAAATAATTTTTTTCATAACACTTAAAAGTTGTTTTTTATTTTTATTCTCTTCAAAATAATATTTCAATTTTTTAAAATGCTTTTTAAAATATGTTATCAAACATATCCTTTTAATATTTTAAAGAACAGAAAATTATTATCAAAATTGCCAAATAGGCTTAAGTTTTTATTCCCACGGACCACCTCCGCGCCCCTTTCCCCTTTCTACTTTCCCGTGCTTTTTTTGCTTTTCGCAAGCCACTGCGGGTGAGGACTCAGGACCACTGTGTGTTGGTGAGGCCAATCAGAGATTTCCACGTCACCGCTTCATCACCATCTGACGTCCATTCCAACCACTTCGAACGGCCACCATTTTGAAAACACGTCACCAGCCAAAAGCAAAACCCCCTAGCAGCTCATGTTATATGCCACTACCATAACTTTTTTAAGCGTGACGCGATTGGCATTCTATAATCAACTTCATGCTCAACTAGCTGCTTGAATTTGCATTTGGGTAATGTCCTGACTTATGCACTCAAAATTAAAGCTACGACTTGCATTTTTTCTTGTGCAAAAAAGTAGAAAATGGTCAAGGATATTGTGCGGCTCACATGGGATGGGGCCTCGTCACTCTAATAGCTTAGCGTCGAGGTTTCGGTGACAGGCACTGCACTAGACCGACAAGTACAGGTAACCGCTTTCCACGGGCCTGCCGGATCAGACAGGCTCTGATTTAGTAGCGAGCCAGGCTTAAGTTGGGAGCCGTACAAGGCTGACGTGTCCACATGTTGTTACCTTCTACTCCCTCCCATCTCATTTCTACCAATCTCATCAATATCAATACAATAAAAGTACAAAAAATAAAAGTAAGTAAGATTTCAAACATATTCCTATATAATAAATTAAAAAAAATGTCCTGTTACTTTTTTTTCTCTCATGAAGTAAATACCTCTCAAATATTATTTAAAAAGACACACCATGACTTATAAATAGAATTAAATGCAACTTCTACAATGAGACTTTTAAATGAAACACGAGGGGGTACCTATCATTTCTCGCTCTTTCTTTCTCTGCTAACGAAAGCTTTAGTGTAATAATAGCAACTAGACTTGGGGTTAAGCAGGCCATTGTTCTCTGTTTTGAAGAAAATCAGAATTGAAGTAGAGGATAGATCACGTAATACCGTAATACCACATAGTTTTTCACTTTTCGCTGGGGCGCAAGTTTTCAGCGTCGGTAAGGGAAAGAGGCTTCCTGCTCAGCGCACACAGCATTTTATCTTTCCTTTCTTCTTCCCGGCCCTTTTTGCCCCCTTCTTTAAAAAAAAAAAATTGTCTGTTAAATTGTTAAGTGAATTTCCTTTTAAATTTTTTAGGTTCATTTTGAATACTGGTCGGAATTTTTTAATTGGAAAATATAGCTTCAAGATCACGCTTGTAAAAAAGTTACATTTCGGTTCTGTTTTGTTCTGGCTGGCCATTGTCGTCACCACTCAGGCTCATTTCATTTTTATATATAAACATCAGAAGTGACCTTCTCCTTTTCCGTTAATTCCTGATTATGAAAGTGCTGCCGAAGCGGGGGATTTCACCTGTTACTGAGGTCTGAGCTAGTTGTGACTGTTATTTTTGGGGGTAAATGGTGGAAGTAGACTCGTGGAGAGACGGGCTGTCGAGTCTTCTGGACAGCTCTGACGTCCGTTATACCGGAGATCCGATGGAATCCTCCACGACACCATTTGAGACGAGAAGATCGGGGTATGTGCCCCCTGAATCGCTGACGTTGGAATCGGAGGGATCGGGGGAGAGCTTCAAGGATCAGGCCATGGGTTTTGTGATGGCTTGGTGTGAGATACTTATGGAATTTGCTAGAGGTTGTAGGGATATTGTGCAACAGAATTTCTTGAACGAGAACTCGTATGTAGTGAGAAAGCTCCAAGGGCCTTGTGCTAAGGCTTCAAAAAGTTTAAGGTTTCTGAATGCTTTTTTGCCTGAGGATCGGGATCCGTTTCAAGCTTGGTCGGTCGTGTTCTTCGTTTTCATTCTTGCACTCGCAGGTTACTTAATTAACTACCCTGTCTGTTTACTCTCACGTTAATTTATTTGTTGTAGAGTTTCCTTTCTTCAACATTTTTTTTTAGATAGGTCGTATTAAATTGCTATACCTTATAAAAGAGGGAGAGCTGGTACAAGCCCTCGTCACTGCCCCATTTTTTTCATGACACAGGTTTACTGGTGTTTTTGGAAATATTGATTGGACAATGAAATTCGGAACTTCCTCTTGGAAAGACTTCCATAACATAGAGCAAGTCTAGTTCTCCGACATTATGATATCGCTGCGAGGCATCATTTTCATGTTTGAAAATTAAAATGAGCACCGTTTATCAGATTCTACGATTATCACTGATCGACAAGCCGCATTTCATAGAAAAACTTGAGATTATGTTGAAGTTATTACATTTAAAAATACGGTCTTCTGAACCGAATTGCAACCGTGGGTTAAAATCTTAGGGGAAAAAATTATTCATGTGCTAGTGAATACTGATAATAAATTTGGATTATACCACATAACTTATAGTACATGAATTTACTATGAGTCATTTATTGTTCATGTCCCTTCAGACACAGCGTATTTGTGCTGTTCATCAGTGTGGGCTTCACTCATTAAGAGTCTTTACAACCGAATAGGAGATTATTGACTTTTATTAATGAAGTAACAGAAAAATTCTCACATTGTTACTTTCATCATTTTTTTCAGTGTTCGGTTATTTTTGGTAATTATAAACCTTGATTTTATATCCATGCGCCTCCATGAACTAGGTGCATTTTTTCTTGTTTTTTCCTTGATTTTGTTTTCTCTGTCAATGCTATTTCAAACACTTATTATGTGAGTTTTATTAGATTCCAGAGAAACTACTATAATTGTTTATGAATGATTTCTGCCTGATGATGTTGGTTTGGTATGAAATTTACTGACCTTTATAAGCAATTTGCAGCTATTAGTGTGGATCCCAACCGTGACTCTGTAGCCCCAGTGGTAAAGGTGCGCATGCATCCTCCTAGTGCTAGGCGAATACTTCTTCCTGATGGTAGATACATGGCTTATGATGAGCAAGGTGTTCTTGCTGATAAAGCTAGATTTTCCCTTGTTGCTCCACACGCTTTTCTTTCTTCCAGACTGGCGGGTGAGTTGTCAGAATTTTTTATTTTCAGGATTGGCATTCATAATCTCTATCATATTCTGACCAGAAATTAGCAAGAGATACGAAGCTCTGCCTACTATCTGATTTGTTGTTGTTTCTTTTCCAATGGAAGGTATACCTGGTGCTAAAGCTTCACTGCTTGAAGAGTATGGTATACGTTTAGTCACATATGATCTTCCTGGTTTTGGGGAGAGTGATCCTCATCCTAAGAGAAATCTTAACTCCTCAGCTATGGATTTGCTGCATCTAATCAACGCTGTCAATGTTAGTGACAAATTCTGGGTACTGTGCCACTCAAGTGGATGCATTCATGCTTGGGCTTCACTCAGATATATTCCCGACAGAATTGCAGGTATTCAACAATATGATGCTTCGTGTCTGGGTTCTGGTTAAAAGCTTATTATATGTTCAGCATCTGGAAGTCCATGTTTCCCGTCATGGATTTAAGGTTGCTTTCGGAGCTTTTAAATTCTTTGAGCTTAATTCGAGACTTAACCACAGACATTGGTGGTATAACTTTTGGGCAATATGCAATGTGAGTGCCAATTATGATATTAGTTTTATCTCCATTCATACAGCTTAATGCAAATATTTGTTGAGAATAATTTTGGAGTATATAGCAATGTAAGTTATGTTAAACTTGTTTATTCCTTTTCTACTCCCCATGATCTCTGCATAAATGAAAGGAAATATTTTAGAGTCTGATGTTGTTTGTGATATTACCTGAAATTGCAGGTGCAGCTATGTTAGCTCCCATGATCAATCCATTTGAGCCACGTATGAGTAAGAATGAGATCAAAAGAACTTGGGAGAAATGGTTGCCAAGGAGGAAGTTCATGTATTCACTGGCTCGTAGATTTCCAAAACTTCTCTCTTTTTTCTATAGGAAAAGCTTCTTGTCAGGAAAGCATGATAAGATTGATAAGCAGTTGTCCTTTTCATTGGGAAAGAAGGTGAATATGTCAATCTTTGAACGGTATAATTTTAAAATCGATATAGTGTTTTAGATTTATCGATAATGGTTGTGAATTCATGCCAACTGGAAGCAACTGGATTCATCAATCTTTGGCTGTTGTCTGCCCACCGTAACACATGATTGACTAAAATACTCATTTGCTTTAACAGTTGGATGTAGAATGGAAGTAAATCTCAGCTTGTATGTGGAAAAGTCTGTCCATAGCTGGTTAAAATATGCAGATCCTAACATGACAACTCTTTAGAAATTTGCTTTATCTAATAAACATAAGCTACGGAAAGTGATAGCTATACACTCATTTTGTTTAATCTTTGGTATTATGAGGGGATGAGTAATTGTGCGCCAGGGTATCTTCATATTATAAATAATATCATCGTTCTTATGGCTTGCGTATAGAATCCAGTGGCTTCATTGACGTGCATCGGACTGCAAATATTAGAATCCATCCAAAATTTTGGCCCTTGTTACTTTCTTCTAATCTTGCCTCTGAAACGGATCTCTGAGCATGATAGTGAAGCTGATTTAAAAATAGGAATTAAAACACAATGCCCAGTAAGAGATTTTCTTAGTTTTCTTCAGCTTTCATTGATAAAAGGCAAGCGATTCCCTGATGATCTGTTAAATTAACATCTTGGCATGTTCAGGATGAAATTCTGATAGAAGAGCCAGCATTTGAAGAATTTTGGCAACGGAACGTGGAGGAGTCAGTACGCCAGGGAAACACACAACCGTTTATAGAGGAAGCTGTTCTGCAGGTAACAAATTGGGGATTTGATTTAACGGAGCTCCAGGTGCATAAGAAGTGCCGAACAGGAGGCTTGCTTCTTTGGTTGAAGTCTATGTACAGTCAGGCAGAATGTGAATTAGCAGGATTTCTTGGCCCTATAAACATATGGCAGGTATGAACTCATATTTTCTTGGGTAGTGCTGTTTCTTCTAACCTAAATTTTTCCTATAGAGAACGAGTTCATCTTGATGTTTAATTTTGTTCTCGTATGCTTTCCTTTTCAATTCTGAACAGGGATCGGATGATAGGGTGGTCCCACCATCAATGGCGGAATACATAGGACGAGTTTTGCCGGAGGCAGTCATCCATAAACTTCCTAATGAAGGTCACTTGTCCTATTTCTTTTTCTGTGATGAATGTCATAGGCAGATAGTCTCCACCCTTTTTGGAAACCCTCAAGGTCCACTTGAAAAACAAGGAGAAACTGCAATCGTGGGAGATTTACCAGTTTTTGCTTCGGATATGGAATGACACGTGGCTACTGATTCACGCTTCCTTAGGCTGTGATTGTAAATACCACAGGCTGCTCCTCTGCTTGATGGAGCTTGAAAGACGACAATATTCATTGCAAATCCGAAAACTTTGGATCATAAGAGCTTCTGGAGACACAGATAAAAGCAACATATCACTAAGGTTTTTTTTTTCAACTCCCATTTCCATATACTACGTTGTATCTGTTATCTCGTTTAGGATGTTTTTTGGTATCATCATTAACTGAGCGGCAGAATTCTGTCCAAGGGGTAACACTTATTGTGGGGGAATCATTATCCTACTTGTCAAATTGGATCCTCCAGCGATGGTCGTTGCCTCTGGCGTTTAACTGCATACTACGAATGTTGTTGTAAAGTATATAAGGGTAGAACAAACGAGTTTTCCCACCCCCTAAAATGTAATTCCATCTGAATATCTTCCTCTTTTAGCTGAAGATTTATGAGGATTATGACATTTGTAGACTTTTGAATTACAATGATCAATATTCACCGACAGAAAGTTTGTTAGTTGGTATCTGGTGAAGTACAATGCTTTTACAGCATGGTTATGTTGTTTGTCGTCGTTGTATAGTTTCACTTGAGTCGGAGCCAGTTCCCCAGTTGCGTTTGACACGTAGTGACTGAATATCATTTCCAATTTTCTATTTATTATTATACTGCGTAGCGAGCAACCCTTGGACACTAAAAAATAGTATATCACGTTACTGCTACTGAGAAGGCAGTTGGTATGGGGAGAAGTGGAATGGAGAGAGCTGCAATCTTACTTCAGTGTGACAGTATTCCATCATATATGCTTGTGTCAATTGTAATTCGCATCATACGTTTAGATTAGACCATAAGATTTTGAGACGTGTAAATGTCATTCTTTGTCGCAAACTCCAATCCTCCAAATATCAACCCTCTAATAAAATACATGGGGATGGAAACACAGCAAAACATCTCAACACAGAAATCATATCTTGCGAAAACAGAGTAATACAAACCAATGAGATGCTGAAATGGAATATACATTTTATGTCTCGAATCAGAAATCACGATCTTCAAATAGAACGATGATCTGTTATGATGAGGAAGATATGGCACTTGTTCTTCTGAGAACCATTTTCCATCTGAGAGCAAATATTGAGAGAATATAAAGAGGGGGAAAAAGCAGGTAAAACGATTTTTAATACCTCCCAGAACACGGCAAACAATTTAATTTATAAAACCAAGTAAAATGGAACACTCGAGTCAAACGAACATTTCTCGTACACAATCTTTACGACCTCGCTTTTGAACTTACCTCCTCTTATTTATTTAAGCAGCCCCGCCATCAGCCATAGTGATTTCTGCAGTTAAGTTGTTTTCTACCTTTGGGGGCCCACTTGAATGCCGCCACGGCCTCGCCGGTGAAGGCGGGTAAGAAAGCCGTTTCTTTGCAGTCCCGAAAGATCCTTTATCTTTCGCCTTCTGCGGCGTGCCATTCTCAGCTGCCAATGGACTCTGCGTCCTGGACTTGGCTTTTGCAGACTGAGTTGCCACCATGTAACTCGGAACCGCCGGAGAGCTCGCAAGGCTCTCGTCGTCTCTCACGGACGCGCCACCGATGGAGTGCCTCCGGAACCGCCCTGACTGCGCACTGGCCACACTTTTAATGTCATCATCCATTGCAAAGCTGTCCTTTGGGCTGGCCTTCTTCAGTTTTCTGGAAGCTGGCTTTGAAGGAGTTGAATATAAACGGAAGCTAGGGGAGTCAGGAATTTGGCTTGCTGTGGGAGAATGCTTTTCAGAATTGAGCTGGTAACGAGCATATGATTTGCTGATTTCTCCACCGGTGATGCTGCGGCTAGAACTTCTCACTGATGAATGGTCATCGTTCATTTCTTTCTCCATTTTGCTTTGGCTCTCCCATGTCCGGGCAGCCATCCATCGTTCCAGCCAGCTCCAACCCCAGGAAGGATTAGTTGGATCCATGAACATTGGGTTTATAGATCTGTATGAATTCTTCCATGTTTGCTGTTGTAGACATTTTTATCACAAGAATCAAAATTTGTTAATTTGAATTGAATATGGTACTTGCTTGACAAGTAAGCAAAAATGAATGGCCCTGCGCCTTCATTTAGCGGGTCATAGGATTATGCTAACAGCTCAAGTGGCCTTATTATCTCTTCATCGATAACATGAAATTTATGCTTGCCAAACTCCAATAACAAAACCAGTTTTCCTTTCTATTCCCCCCCCCCCCTGTTAGTTTCATTTATGCATTCCTTTTTCCCATTTCTTTCTTTTCAGCTTATGAGGAAAATAATGAATATAATAAATTCACAAGCAAATAGAGAACCTGATGAGTGAATGCGTAAGCCAGCGCCTTTTCTCTTCTCATAGCTGCCTCATACTTCTGTAGCAACTTTGCTTCAATTTGTTCTTTGGATTGCAGGCTATCATCCCATTCCTCTCCAATCTGTGATGAAAATTTGCAGCAAAAGTTGAAAACATGCCAAATTTTATATTCTAAAGACCAGACAAATGGTGGTGTTAAGTCAAGGATAATGCATTATCATGTGAAAAACAAAGAAGTGAAACCCAGAGACCCGCATGCTCTCGAGCTCTTTTGCATGCTTGTGTAAGAGCTGCCTTTGTAGAGCCTGATTCTCCTCGAACATCCTGATCCTCCTAGAACGAATCTGAGATTGCACACGAGCTAAAGTTTGCATAGAACGAAGAGTGCTAGTAGCTTGGCGTTTTACAATTGGCCCTTCCATTAGTGTCCTCAATCTGACCAGCCCTCTCAAAGCTCGCAATGCTCTTCTTGCCTAAACGATTTTTACAGAAATTTCAGTTCAAGAAGTTGACTAAACATTCAATCAACAAGAATTTCTTTTTTCGACATCCCTGACTTCCCAAAAACTTGGTTAGTTTAAGAGAGCAACCAAAGAAAAAGAAAAGTTTAACTTCATGCAAGAAACCCATGCTTTGGAATGACTCTCACTCTCATTACAGTTAAATAGCTTTCAAAACGAAGAGGGGTAAGAAACATATGAAGAGTGATCTACATTGATCGTCATACCAGATATCCCCTAAAAGCTGTCTGAATCTTTAGTGTAGCCACTTCTTCCCTTGATTTACCGGCAAATCGAGGGATTTTAGGGGCTTGAACTGCAACAGCTGCTGTCTGAGCCGCAGGAATAGGTCTCTCAGCATTCACAGTAGTTGCAACTGCATGAACATGACTTTGACTGGATTCATTCTCAACATCATGTGACTTAATTTCTTCAGGATGAGGAGAAGGACGTGCTGTTTTCTCAGAACCCAAGTGTGAGTCTGAGGTGGCCTCCAATTTTTGCTTCCCAAACCATTTCTTCTTCGATTTGCTTGCTTTCTGCGATAGTGGAAGCTAAAACTATCAGAACTGTTTCACAGAGTTAACATGAACCATATATATATATATATATATATTTAACAGACCTGATCTTCCTTCTTCTTTGACTCGGGGCTGAAAGCCTTCTTCACATTGGAAAACCAATTTCCCTTCCTCCCCATCTTCTTGGCATTCCTCGACTTGATCCTTTATCAAGAATAGATTTTAAATGTTAAGATCTCATACCTGATAACCCAATACAAACTCAAGTTTCAAGCAGCAAAAGGTAAACCTGTGAGAGGAATAAAAACCTGAACCTAATCCATAACTGGCGGTAATCCTACCAATTTCATCGAGTAATGACCATTAAAGGTATGTATATAACGCTTGGGAGACTAAACAACAGTTTTCTGATCCTGGTTCTTCGAATTGACATTGAGTCAAACATATAACCGACTAAAAAGAAAAATGATCTTCATTTCCGGAATTTCATAGCAAAGAAACAGAGAATTTCAGAATTATCTAACTGCATTGCTAAGTGAGACGCTTGCGGTGAAATCTAGAAACACCAACATGTTGTTGAGATTGAGAAAGTTTCAGCGCAGCCAGGAATATATGCCCAATCGAAGAACGCAAGCAGAGAATCAGAGAGAGAAGAAAATGACGAAGTACAGTGTATCGAATGCGGAACTAAAGACTCGAGTTACAATTGATTGGAATGGAGATGGAGGTACCTGAGCTAAAACCAAATGTCAGATCTCAAATATGCCCTTCACTTCCCAAGGTGAGCCGTCTCCATTTCTGGACAGAAGAAACAAAAAAAGATTTGGAGTGGAAATCAGAGGGAAACGAAATCAGATCTTGACAAGAGGCTTTCCATGATATATTTGATATATGAGAAAAGGAGAGGAAGCAAAACCAGCTGGTGTTCGGGTGATATTAATGGCCCCACTACCTGGGTCTTGCACAGTGGACGGTGGTCCCCACCATATTAACATTAAGTTTAAACCTCGATGCCACGGTTTCACAGAATCAAACATGAGTACGAAGAAGAGGGGAAGAAGTCACAGTGTTCATGCCTTTTGGTTTTCGTGCTGCCAATCCATGACCATTCTCCTCCCAGCGTGGCTTTATTATTATTCACCTTCCTTCTTTAACTGTTTCACAGTGAAGCAGGGAAACTTGTGAGGTGTGGCAGATATCTCATAGCGACGGTGGATTCTCTTTTTCTTTTTCTCTCTCTCTTTTTTTTCTCTTTTCATAAAAGCTTATTCTTGTTCACTTTCATTTCTTTTCCTTTTTTTACCCTTACCTAACTCGAGAATCGAGATGTTTAATTTTACAAAATGCCTTCTCTTTCAGGTTTTCCTGGAAAAAGTTATAAAACCCGCGCGAGAGTTTGGCTTGAGTTCAAATTTTTCCCGCGGGTTTAATGTCCAAACGGCAATGAAAATCCTCTCATGCTGTTAAATTGAATCATTGATGTAATCTTGGAATCTTAAAAAACAAGAGACAGCAACTTTGTGACGAAATTAGTGCGCTCAATCCGATAAACCTGGCTACTGAGTGCCGACGGATGTTGTATTTTCTGTTTTCCATGTACCAGTGCCAGGGACAAAAAGGTCCAACGAATAAACCACAGTTTCTTTGAGGGTAAAAGTCCCATTGAACCAGCCTATCAAATATTAATAGAATCGTGATGGGATTTTTGATCAGATCAAATAATATGGCATGACTGACTTTATTTAATTATGGCGACATACAAATGCAACTGAATATTTTTTATAAATACTAAATAGAACGTTTTTTTTAATTAGAATAAAAGATGTTTAGAATGTTTTCTAAATGTTAAATAAACTTAATTTTTTTAAAAGGCCATCAGAGATTGGAGTGAGCGACAAACATGTTCATGAGACTCAAATTTTTTTAAAGAAAAATTTAGATGGGTTAGGATTCAGAGAAACTAAACACAAAATTAAAAGTATACATAATTCGTTTCCCTTTCTGTTACTCTTGATTTTTTTTTTAAGAGAAGTATTTGCAATGAAGACGCCCTGTGTGATTTAATTAATTATTGAAATTGACAACGAATGAGCGTGCACAAGTTTGAAATTTTGAATATTATGCATTAAACAAATAAATATGGTCTGCAAATGGACAAAATGCAGAA